TAATAATAATATATATATATATATATATATATATATATATATATTCTCTTAGGTCGTTTCGATTTCATTCCCAAGCGCCTCAACATAGAATTTAGCTTCTTAATTTTTGATAGAATTAATATGGAGCTAGCTAGCTAGCTAGTAACCTGATTTGTGTTTAGTTACATGCTTTTGATTTAAATTGTAAATTTTTTCCAGGTGTTCTCATTCTTTTAATTTAGTAAGTAAGTAAAGTTAATCACATAAATTATGTCACTTTCTTAAATAATATATATTGTTATTAATGATTAAACAACATTTTTAACTTGAGATTAATGTATATAATTTTTGTTAAAATGATATATTTTATGTCATTAACATAACTATTTAACAGTAAATTAAAGCACACAATATTTTTTTTCCAAAATTTTAAAAATGCCTATTTTAAACATTTTATTGAAGTTGAGGTGTTTAATTTAAATAAAGCCTACATCATCAACTATCTAAATAAAAATTTCAAACAAATTTAAGAGATATATTATGTATTAAAATTACAATTATTAGTATATATAATTAAATCTTAAATATATTAGATAATTTAATCATTTTTTGAAGAAAAATACTTTCTTTTTTTTGGCTTAAACAAGGAGAAAAAGCTCATTAATTAATTGCCGGAAAGAAAAACAAGCATGTAATATTGTATCTTGTAACACCAAGATAAGAAACTGCCAAAAAGTCTCCAGAAATAATCGATCACATTTTTTGCGCTTGTATGAATTTTACAATGTGAAAGTTTGCTTTTTTATTTTTTAGTGTTTGCCAGTTAGAAGTTGAAGCTTATGCATGTTGCGTCAATGTAGGTTGAAGAGTTATATAAGTATGTATCAATTTATTTTTAGACTTAAATTTAAGTTAAAGATAATTATAATTTGTTTGTATTGAAATAAATAGTTCAATTCAGTAGTTCTCTTTTTGGCATGATGCCATCATTTTTTGGTTTTATTTCTCCCAACTATACAAGGAGATAAATTGATAATAATGTGCAACATAGTGTTAATGTAGAATTATATGTGTATTGTAAATATTAAAGTTGTAATTGTGACTACATTGCTGGAAAGAAAATAAACATGTATTATATCTTATAACGTTAAGATAAGAAACTGTTAAGAAATCCTAAAAATACTGAACCCATTTTATACACTTGAATTAACTTTACAATGTGAAAATTTTTATTTTTTATTTTCTAGTTATAGATTAAAGTTTCTGCATAAACATGTAGCAATCAATGAAAATTCAAGAGTTATAAAAGTATGTGTTAATTTATTTTGTACTTAATATTTAAGTTAGAGATAATTATAAATTTTTTTTGTATTGAGAATAAGCACTTCGATTTTTGATAGTTTTTTTTTGGGCACAAGGTCAATTTTTTTGGTTTTATTCTCTCAAATATACAAGAAGATAAATTGTTAGTGTTCAATGTTAGTATTAATGTGCAATTTTGGTTTCTGTAGAGTTAGTTATGTGTGTTGTAAATAATGAAACATTAATTGTGTTTTATACAATTTTAGTATATATAATTTAAATCTTAAATATTAGATAAACTTAATCATTTTTTCTAGAAATATAATTCACTTTTTCTTTCAAAAAGGATAAGAAGGTCATTAACTAATTGCCGGGAAGAAAGAATTACAATGCCAAGAAGAGAAACGACAAAGAAGTCTCTAAAAAATAACGATCACATTTTTTTGCATCTAGATGAACTTTGCAAAGTTTACTTTTTATTTTTTGAGGTTTTTGCTAGTTAGAGGATGAAGCTTCAACATACATAAACATGTGACATCAATAAAGGTTCAAAGAGTAATAAAACTTATGACTCCCTTTTTTATTGGTTTATATTAAAAGAGGGAAGAGGGGGCGGGGGGGGGGGGGATCTTGAAGAGAAACCTAAATGTTAGTTCGCAAATAAAACTTGACCTTCTTCACAGATATTGGAGAAAACGAACCTAAATCACAAAGCTAAACTTGTATGTTAATTGAGCAAATAAAACTTAACCAAGATATTTCGTGCACAAAAATTAATTAAACACTTTATTAATTAGGTAACTACACAATTTTTTTTCACGTTGGTGCATAGAAATTAATTATGCATACCTTTTGAAGAACTACATAATTTTTGACATTGTTGATGCACAAATGTTAGTTATTTTTTCTTTAAAAAAAATATAACTATAAAATTATTTTGGCACGGTAATATCTTAGATAAAGAAACTTTTAAATTGTACATCACATACAAAAAAGAGAATAAAATTAATAGAAAAACAATAAGACCAAGACCAATAGAGGAAAGGAGAAAAAAATGGAGGAAACAAAGGAAATATAGTGAGGGAAGTAACTTTAGCGTTTTTAGATTATATGCCAACATGCATCACTCAGCACATACACTATTAAATTTGTTTACATATGTAACTATTAAAAAAAGTATAGTATACTACTAAACATGAAGATAATTTAACTTCATAATAACTATAACAGAATCAATATGGGATTAGCTAGTAAGTAACCTGATCAGTTGTTGTAATTGAACATTTCCATATTTAATAAATAATTTAATTCCACACACTAATTTCAATTTTAGAATTTTCTTTGCTTGTATTTTCATTCTTCTGTTCAACGGTTAAGTTTAGTACATAATATAGAGTCATTTTCTATGATTATATCCATTCGCTTTTATAAGTTGTAGATTTTTAGATAAATTTTTTTACTTTGAGTTGATACAATTAATTTATAAAGAAGATCATTTTATGTAATTAACTTAACTATCCGACAGATAAATTAAAATACGTAAAAAGAAATTTCAAAATTTCGAAATCTAATTAGCATAAAGCCTACTTCATCAATTATCTAAAATGAAAATCCCAACAAATTTACGAGATGGATTATGTATTAAATTTACAATATTAGTATACATAATTTAATCTTAAATATATTAGATAATTTATTCATTAGAGGAAGAAAAATAATATATTTTTTAAAAAAGATAAAAAGGTTATTAATCATTTGCTGAAAAGGAAAACTAGCCCGGTATTTTGTAACGTCAAGAGGAGAAATGGTAAAGAAGTCTCCAAAAATAATTGACCACTTTTTTTTTTTTTGCGCTTGAATGAACTTTACGAAACTTTGCCTTTTTATTTTTTTGGTTAGTTTAGAGGTAGCTTATGCATGCATACAAACGTGGCACCAGTGAAGGTTCTAGAGTATGTGCTAATTTTGTTTTATACTTAAAACATACAAGCTATAAATAATTCTAGTTTGTTTTTATTGAAAATATATAGTTCAATTTGGTGGTTCTTTATTTACATGATATTAGTTTTTCAAAATTTTATTTTTCTGAAATAGCCTTAGTGTGCAATGTCAGTGCTAATGTGAAATTAATCATGAAGTTGTAATTGTGATTGTTGGAAAATTAATTACAAAATTTTAATTATTTTTTTTCACAATGAAACTGACAAATCTCGTTGAAACATTAAGAACCCTAACTAATGTCTCCCTCTTCTTCATTGATTTAGGAAAAAAAAAGGAAAAAATTTCGAAGAGAACCTTCTTCATTGATAATTCGAAGAAAAGGAACCTAAATCACAAACTAAAACTTATATGCTAATTGAGCAAATAAAACTTAATCAAGATATTCATCAGTGCCATGAAAGCGATAATATTTACAACCTGGAGATCTGTGCGAAATGAAGATGCACACGAAAACCGTATACAGATGGGTGGAGAAGAAACTGCACAATATTATATATTTTTCAAATAGTCAAAAGTGGTGAAAACCCACTTGATTACATTTACAGAAGATAATAAGCACAACAAAACACTTACATCAACCCCTTACATTAAAAACCAAAAACAAGAAAGAAAGAGAACTCCTTAGATTGCTAAGTAATGTACAACTCTTCGTTTTTTGTCTTCTTCTTTTACTTTGGAAAACTTTATTTCTAATAGGACATATTTTGCAGTCAAACATTCATATTGGTGAGAGTTTTGAGGAATCAAAGCCCTCAATTCTAGGTGGTGGTGCTTGAGTGTTTTGTCCAAGTGATTTTGGCTTTGCACATGAAACGGAAGTAGATGCACTGATTGACGTTGTTGTTGATGATGATGATGATGAACCGTTGAATTGTTTTCCATAATTTACAAAGCGAACATCATGAATCAATGGATTCATCGGTCGGCTAGGCGGTGAACCATTAAAGAAAGGAGGAGATGCTGATGCTGACAGTATTGCACTTATAACATCCTGTTAAAATGAACATCAAATATTAAACATAAATTAGTTAACCAATTCATCACACCGTCATTTGTATTGTAACTTTAAATCTTTCCATAAAAATACCTCTGTTCTGGCTTTTGAATCCATCACCTCATCACTGTTACACAAATGAAAAATCAGAATGCTAACCATTTAACAATCTAGCTACAAATAAAAAAAAGAGCTGAGAAAGTGAAAGCAAAATCACCTGAAGCGACGCTGAGTAACCCAATTTTCTCGACGAGATTCGGGAAAAAAAGTTCGAGACGCAAGATTATTGGGATAATTCATCGTCACAAATTAACCGGCCGGAAAACTATTCAATCGGCGGGGAGAACGGTGGTAGGAGCTGATGGGAAATGGAGAACTGTTGAAGGAAACATAAGAAATCTGACCCTATTAAATAATGGGAAAAACCACTCCCTCCGTGTCACTTTTCTTTTTTAGTCTTCATAAAATAAATGACATTTTGACTAAATAAAAATAATTTAATATAAAATTTCTTTATTACGTTTAATGACATAATTTATAATTATACAAGTATCCAAAAAAAATAATTAGATCAAAATTTTAATAAAGTGTTATTTTTATCTTAAATATCATATCAAATTAAATAGTGTCATATAAAATTAAACGAAACGTTCATTAGTAAATAAATAAATATTGATTCATATCTTTTTTTTGGAATAACATTAATCCATTTGTTTTACTTACCAGTGAAGATTAGAGTTGATATTAACTTAATTGGAGCTAAGATATAGTTATTATTGTTTGAGAAAGTGAATTAGAAAAAAACAATGCATAAATTAACTTTGTTTAATATATATATATATTTTCTATGAATTAATTATATACATTCTATTATATATTAAAGAATGCATTACTACTAACATGAACTTTTATATTTTATTAATAATAAAAGAGTACAAGTATCACTCACTCACGTACATTAAATTAATTAAAGACATAACTATAAAGTAGAGTGTGGAGCTAGGGTGATTATATATAAATATATGTAAGACTTCTATTTCTAATATATCAAACTAACAGTATATAACGTAATAATATTAGCTTAACTAGTATCATTATTATTATTATTAATAATAATAAATTATTTAGCAATTTTCTGAAATATTCTATCAAACTAACCGTAAATAATAATTGATAATTTTTTATTAAGAAAAATGGAACACGTCATTTGTTTCTCATTCCATTATCAAATGTGAGTAAATTTTTTTTTTCTTAAATGAAATTTTTATTTTTTTAAAAGCGAATTACAATTTTAATGCGATAACAAGCAACCCTAGAGTTGGCCATATCTTTTTACTACTCTAGTTGTGTGTGTGAGTACTAAAATTCGGAAGCATGTAATTTTTTTAAGGACAATTTTCACATATAGTAAATAAAAAATTTATATTTGTATACTAAAACAAACTTTGCATAATTGCGCCCCAAAGCAAACATAAAATTGTATAATTTGCTATACATATACAATTGTATAATTCGCTGGCCTAAATTGTATAATTCGTTGGCCTATTTCGCTGCAATTGTATAATTTGTTTTGCATACAGTTGAATCGAATTAAAATGTATGTATATTGCATAATTATAAGTGTATATCAAGAAGATATATGTTTTTCTCGCTTTATACAAAAACAGAAACACAATACATACACTTCTATTGTATAAAGCTAGAGAAAATTATATTTCACTGCAATTGTATAATTCGTTGGCCTTTTTCTCTACAATGTTGAAGTAAAATGTTTGTAAATTGTATAATTAAGTGTATAACACGAAAATATACATTTTTGCATGTGTATATACAATTTTCTCTCGCTTTATACAAAACAGAAACAGAATTATACACTTCTGTGTATAAAGCGAGAGAGGCGAGCGAGAATGGAGAGCGGCGAGTGGGATTTTTGGGAGAGAGACGCTGACAAATTTTAGCTAATGTTTGCTATGGAACACAATTAAATCAAACCCTAGCTATTCCATTTAATTTAGGTTATTAGTTTGCTATTATATACAATTTTCTTTTTTTTTAATTATAATAAATAGTTATTAAGTTTGATTAATTCAAAATACCAAAATTAGAATTGGCGAAGGAAGTGATTCGTTATGAGTTTAGAAATTGAACGGAAAACCCGAGGTATGTCCTTCGCTAATCACAATTGTCAATTTGGTACATCTGAATTCTGATATTTTGGGGGAAACATAAGGTGGATTTTTTTTCATTGAGAAGAAATTAGATGCAGATATGGACAATGTGGAAGGCAGGCGTGTGCTGTAGAGATATTCAGCTTTCAATTTAAAGGTATAATTTCTTCATCTTCCTTTCTCATTGCTGATATACCTTAACTTGTAAAAGTATTAGGTGCTCCGATTCCTTAGATGGGCATTTAGGGTTTACGCTTCTGCTTCCCGGGATAACACTGAGAATCATGTACTCTTCGTCAATGTTGAGTTGTTCGCCGTTCATGTCATTATTATTATGAGTAGTTGTGGGGAGGACAATGTGGTTGATGATCTAGAAAAGGCAACTAAGGAAACAAACAAATGGTAGTTGGAAGCTAGAGGAAGCTCAAAATAAATGAAAGAAAGAATACATAAAGTTGACTCCTAAAAACTTGTCTCCACTGTGTCGGTTTAATACTCTGATGACAAAATAATCATCTAGAAACCTTTAAATCTGTGTGTCACATCGTGTCGGGTGTCCACAAGACACAATAGGGACGAGTTGGAGTGTTTAGTTGCAATGGACACTATGCACTCTCGAACTTGCCCGCAGAGGCCAAGTATGAATGTATGTTTATGTAGTGTGGTTCTTGATCAATAACTGGAAACAACCTCTTTATTTTCTCAAGGTTAGGGTAAGGATGCATATGCACCACACTCCTCCCTAGACCCACTTGTGGGATTATACTTAGATTGTGGTTGTTGGTTCTTACTCAATAGACTGCAAATTTGTGTAATGTGTTACCTTTAGGATGCGTTTTGATATGGAGTTCTATGTCATGGATGTTTTACCCTAAAATATAATTTGTTTGAATCATTTTCTACTCTATGATTGAATATAGAGTTTGGTGATATATGGTAATTTTGCAAAGTGTATAAGATCCGACATGGGAATAGTGTTTCGACATAAATTTGAATATTGAAGGTTGATATAGAAAAAAAACCATTCATTGAAGTAAGAGACGTGGAGTAAGATTTAGGATATTTGTAAAGGAAAATTACTTCCACTAATAAGTGACTGAAGTCATTTCCATTCTTCTGGTGAAAAATCGTGTGCAGAGAATATTTTCAACACTTAAAGATATATAAGTAAACAAAAAGGAATTTCTGTTTGAAGGGAAGTGATTTCAGCCATTTTAAACACACTGCCTCTTATAACCAGTTGGTAGATTTAACAAGTGTGCAGTTGGAGATTTTATGTATACAAATCTTAACTTATACGAAGACAACAGAACAAGCTTACAGTGAAAGGTACGTTCACAAAGATAATGTACATAAAACTACATCAAACAATTTTAACCAAATCAATGCTTACTTTACAAGAATATACAATCAACATACCTTATTTCACCTTTTCAAGAATGGAATGATGACGTACATAAATCTCCAACTTATGTTACGAGAATATGTGTACCAGGTATCCTTTCACCTTTTCAGGAACTGAATGATGATTGATGAGCAGAATTAATAGCTATCCGATCTTATGTAGATGGAAAAGCCAATTTTGCTGATGGGTTTTTTGGTTTGTTAAATCCATAAATAAGTTTTTGCCTGAATTTTGAGAAAATGTGCCATTAATGTATTGACCACTAATTGACAGAAAAGGGAATGATCAGTGCTGAAATGCCCTTGAACTTCTAACAGTGGTCCAAAGTGAATTCACACTTTATGTACGTCATTTTTGCGAATGTACCTTCTACCGTAAGCTTGTTATAGCTTTTGGAAGCATTGCCAGTTGAGACTGCATATTCTACCTCTGTCGTTTACTGTAATGGAGGAATGAGCCAAAATGGGCGTGATACCCTACATGGAAGTAACGTGTTTCTTAGTTATCTTTTCTGCTTTTTCTTAGTGATTTTTTCTTCCATCTATGCATCAGGTGCCACATGTTGGACTGAAGATGGCGGAGATAAAGCTTATGCTCTTCTTTCCTTTTTTCGAATGTTGTTGGAAACGTGTTAATGCTTTATTGCCTAATTTTCCTTGCTAAACCGTCAAATTTTTTAGCTTGTTTTATACTTTGTAGTGTAGCAAGTTATGACTTCTTCCTACTTTTCCTTTTCAAAATGAGCTCATAGAATAAATAGAAACAAAATAGATGGAGCTAATGCGAGAATCTCGTATTGGTTGAACAGTTTAAGTAAACTGAAATTCAGCATAGGAATGACAGGATTACATAAGAAGAATTGAATTGGGATTTTAGTTTCCTTATTTAGCTATCAGCATTCTATTTTGATTATGAGACAGTTTCGCACTCATATGGGAAGGTGAAATGCTTGGTTCATAAGATTATAAGCTCCAAAATTTATTACATATTATCAGTTAAAGCAAGAAGGTTTGCTTGTTACAAAGGCATTTGAAGTCTCAGACAAGTTATCTTTTTGTAACAAAATTTGTAATAACTATCCTTATCTGTAGGCATTGCATGGAAATTAGCATCTTTTGGTTGTGGAGTCGTTGCAATGGAGTCTTTTTGGGCTTTCAGAAGGTCTTCATGGTTACATACTGGTTTTGACAAGCTGGTTGAAGATGTCATTGAGCATTACTTGAAAGTTGAAGGTATGACTCAATTGGATAACCTTCTTCGTCGTCTTCATCATTAAATGGATTCTTCTTAGTGATATGACGTCAGTCTCTTTTATTTTATTTTATAGAGAGTAGAAGAAAAAAATGGAGAAAACAAAGCAAAGGAAGACAAAGAAAAGATTGTTTTGTACTTCAATTGAGTGGTGAAGTGAGTGTATATATAGTGAGGGGAGCGACTTAGTGCTTTTGGATTATATGCCTGCATGTATATCTTTCCTTGTTTTCCTCTAGAGCAGCTGATACTAATGGTCAAATGAAGATGCTTTAGATCTGACTTATAAAGGGGCTTTGAGCCTTCGACCGTGTGTTAAACCCGAGTATCGCTGTTAGCTTTTGTCTTCTGCTGAATTTGTGTAGTCTGATGCTACTTTTGGACCCTTCTGTAAATGTGAAGCGCCATCTTAGTACTGTTCATTTATGAAATTCTTAAGGCTTACAGATCAAAAGAAGTACCAAATTCTGACCAACAAATACTTGTGGCAGAACTGTATGAAACTAACTAGCTAATTTATATTAAGAGTTTCTTAGAATATTAGTCAAGTCTGTCCTCTTCATTATATGCCAAACAAACACTCCCACAGCTCATTTTCTTAGTCGTACTCTGACGGGAACAGAGTATAAGGGTATAGTCAAAACTGTATTGTTGGCAAGAGAAATTTGTCCCGAATCGGATATTAAGGTACCTGTTATCAACTTTTAGGTTTTATAATCTAATGTTACTACTTACTAGTGAAGCATATAACTTTAAAATGAACAAAAAGTGATAGGGGAAGCTTTCTGTCCATTTATAGCAAGTAGAGATTTTCGGGGGTTAACCTACAAGTAAAATAATATGATCTTTCTTTTGGAAAAGAGACTTTTATGAATGGCAAAATGAGCGCCAGTTAATGTTTGTCATCTGAGTGACCTAATTAAGTAATGTCCGCGATCTTGTGAAGCATAGGGTATGACTGACCTTATTTAATCCTCCTGGTTGTAATTACCCTCGTTGAATCTTTATCCGTCGACTGCAGAGTGATATAGTAAATATAATATATCCATGTTTCATGCTGGAAATATCTGTGTCCTGCATTAGATAAAAATGTAAAATATTATCGTATGTAAATCAAGTTGCCAGTTCTCTGTGTAAATGTTGGTATTCTGACTAACGTCAGGCCCGAAATCTCAAACATGATGACTTGTTATTGAATATTGCATTTTCTTATTCTTCTTGACACTCTACTGGAGAAAAAATTGATAGATAATAGTTGGTTGCAGAAAAGCCAGAGTTCTGTAATCTACCAAGCTTCCTATTTGAGGAATCCATGGGTGGAGCAATAGCTTTGAAGGTGCACCAGAAGCAACCTGATGCTTGGAACGGTACTGTTCTTCTTGCTCCTCTGTGCAAAGTATACCTCTGGAAATGCTTCTCAATTCTTACTGATGCCTCTGATTTTGATAGAGTGATGACTGGTTTGTCATACAGATTGCAGATAGCATAGTTCCACCATGGTTAGTTACACAAATTTTAATTGGCGTTGCAAAGTTTCTTCCAACAAAGAAACTACATATAGTCCGGACACAGGATTTAGGAGAGACGGCAGTCAGAGAAGCAAAGAAGAAAGAACATGTACGTATCTCTTTGTTTTTTGTAATAAATCAGCTCGGAAAAGTAATAGGTTTTAGGAAATCAGAAAAGTGATGGTTACAGAGTATTAGAGGCTAATAGTGCTTGTGTCAAGAATGCTTCCGTTACCTATCTCAATTGCATTAAGTGATGTTGAATAGTTTCTAGTAGGACAACCTTGAGTGGTTGAGCATCATAATTAGATACGCAGATACATCCTGCCCAATTTCTCATATAAGAGGTAACCTATTTCTTCTGTGTACAGGCTGCCTATAATGTGTAACATAAGCCCTGTTCACTGACCACTCTGGAGTTACTGAATGCTACAAAAGAGATAGAGGGACTACTAAAAAACTGTGTACGTGTTTCAACTTTCTTTTGAATTTGTGTACACTGTGTTAACTGTTTAAAGTTTGATATGTGAATATTTACCCTTCGAGGTGGCCCAATGGTTTGAGCTTGAGACTTCCATATAGGAGGGCCTCACGTTCAAAACCCCTTGCTAGCGAAAACAAGGGGTTTGCCTTCTGGGTTGAGCTCATTACACTAGACTTGCCTAGTGGGTTATCTCTCCCATGTGGTTTGTGAACTATTGCATAGGAGCAGAGAGAAGTGCACCCAAAGGCTAGCGACTGCGGGTTTTCCTTTTCATAAGAAAAAAGGGTTGATATGTCACCATTCCCTTGTCGTAGAAATGCTGACATTAAGATAAATATGTATTTGTTCATGCATGATTAGAAAGCTAAGAAACTATTACATTTGACATGGTTGCAACTTGCAAGTAGCATATATAGAGAAGTTGTGACCATGTATTAGACCACCAAATGCACCCTCTTTAAATATGATAATATAATGATTGAAGGTGATTAAGTGGAGGTAGACTTACAATCACTTTGAGGGAAGCACATTTTATAATATTATCCAATGAAAATAAAAAGATCTATATACCAACTCCGTTTGTCCACTGCGATATGGTATCATGATATGGAAGTGTAGATACAAATAAAAAGCGTATCAATATATAAAATAAGTTCTTCAGATACGTTTACCAAAAAGATATTCCATAAGCCACTTTCATGAAGCCATGATTCATGATTATGCACATCAGTTCACATTTCATAAAGGGATTTATGTGCTAGAACTTCCATGTATGATTCATATTGACATCTTCATATCTGTGTTTGCATCTGGACCTCCACATTTGCCAGCTGATGCTTTCAGAAGAGGTCATTCTTTCGAAAAGTATAAAAAGGTCATTTTAGTTTACCAAATTGGAAAATAGCTCATAGTATTTATCCTTCGGGGTGGCCCAGTGGTTTGAGCTTGGAAAATTCATGTTGGAGGTCTCACGTTCGAAACTCCTTGCCAGCGAAAGCAAGTTTCGCTGGATTTGCCTTCTGAGTCGAGCTCATCGCACCAGGCTTGCCTGGTGCGGGTTACCTCTCCTATGTGGTTTGCGAGCTATTGCATAGAAGCGGGGTTTACCTTGTGCGCATCCAAAGGGCAGCGGCTACGGGTTTCCGTTGTCATAAAAAAATAGCTCATAGTATTTAACATATAACCCCTAAGAGTATAAAGGACAAAAGACCTTCTTTTTACATTGTTGGTGCACAAAAGTTAATTAAGCATGGTTAAAACAGGATCGTCTTAACCACTGGGCCACTAAAGTCATCACTTAGTATGGGGCCCCATTTATTTTGTTTAAAATACTTATATTAATAAAACAATGTATCTGTACTTTTATTTTAATTTTATTTTTTTTAAAAAAAAACATGTAAGAAGTAGAAACAAATTTTTTTAAAAAAAGATTGTTAGTTTTCGACTTTTCCCACTTTTTTAATGGAATGAAACATTTTTTTGGGAATAATTTCCTTGAGTGGAAATTGTGTTTCTTATTTATCTCCTAAAAGTTTGACCCTATATTATTATTTTCCTTGTACTCATATTTTTAGTTCTCTATTTTATTACAATATTTCTCTCCTATAATTTTTTTTTGTTTTACTGTTGCTTACAAGTTACAAAAAGAACAAAATTTTCTTTTGGATGTCTTCTTCAAAATCTCACTATTTTGATATTATTTTATCAACTTATCAAATTCACGAGTCAGGTTTTTATAATTCTAACTTCATTTTGTATTTTTTCTTGAAAATATGTTGTTATTAATATTTTTAGTTCATAAGTATATATACTTGTTTTAGTTCTTATTAGAATTATTCAATTTAAATATGTCAACTAGAAAATATGATTTCGATTTGACAAAAAGAGAAAAAGAGAACTTAGAAGAATTAAATAAATTTCAAAAAGGAGTCCTTCATAGATTTTTAACAAATAATAAAATTAAAAGTATTTCATATAAAATAATGTTAACAATTTCAGTAAATGTTGCCTCCGCCGAAATAAGCTTTTCGAAACTAAAATTGATAAAATCTTATCTATGATCACCAATGTCTCAAGAAATATTGAATGAATTAACTATATTATCAATTGAAAAAGAATTACTAAAACAATTTGATTATAAAATATTAATTAATAACCTTGCATCTAAAAAGGCTAGAAAAGTAGAGTTTAATTAAGAGTATATATGATGATTTTTTCTAAAATTTTTTTTTTATAAAAATACTAGTGCCCCCTCTTCAAGATTTGGCATGGCCCAATCTTATTGAGTCGGCCGTGTGTTTTTAGATAATTGTGTAATTTTTTCGACATTGTTGGTGTGCGCATTACGCACCATTTAAGAATAAATAATACATTTTTTGACACTACTAATCAATTAAACACAAATTTTGAATTGCTACATAAAATTTTTTGACACAATTGTTGCACAAAAGTTAATTAAACACTACTTTTAAATAGCTTCTTTATTTATTTTTTTTGACACGATTGTTTCACAAAAGTTGATCAAACACTGGTTTTAAATAGCCAATTTAGAGTTTTAAATCCTACATGTACAATAAATGTGTCTTCACTGAAGGTTTTATGTTAAAATAGTGAAGGAAGCAACTTAGTACTTTTGGATTATATGCCTGAATGCATGACTCAACTCATAGTCACACTATTAACAAGGTGGTTTTTCCCCCATTGTATTGCAAACAGGTCATTAAATTTGCTTGTAGGGAAACTAACACATGGTAATTGGTATTGAATCTTATAATGCCAAGATGATAAAATGCAAACAAATAATACCAACCACTTTTTCATCTGGATTAACTTTACAATGTGGAAGTTTGCTTTTTATTTGTTTGTATTTTGCTAAATTAAAGATTAAAAATTTTGCACGCACAATACACTTGAAAGAGTGATTTCAATTAACTTCTCTTTATTTCCAGGATAAAAGTCAAAAAACATAAAATCAAAATTCATACAAATATTTTCATAACTAGTATCTCCTATTTCACCCAAATTGTTTATAAATCAAAAGTTCTCGTAATTCTTTATATCCAATAGCAAAACTTCTCTTTCGAGTTTCCAGCTGAAGTACTTTTTTTCAATTTTCTCTTCATTTCTTCCTCAACATTTTCTATCACTACTTTCACCTTTAAATAACTACATATTTTTTGACACAATTGTTTGCACAAAAGTTTATTAAAGACTGTTTATAAATAGCTACATTATTTTACTGACACAATTATTGCACAAAAATTAATATAATACTGCTATTAAATAGCTAATTTAGAGGTTAAAAGCACACAGACTCAATAATTGTGTCTTGAACGAAGTTTTTAAAGTACTAAAAGTGTGTGTCAATTTTGTTTTATACTTAATATATAAGTTACGAAATAATTACAGTTTGTTTATATTTGAGGATGAAGTTGAAAGTAGTTTAGTTATGTGGTTCTCTATTAACATTACGTCAATCTTTCTTATTGTATTTTATACGGTAGAAGAAAAAAGGGAAAAAACAAAGCAAAAAAAAATTATTTTGTGCTTCAATTGAGTCGTAAAGTGAGTGTATAAATAGTGAAGAAAGCAAATTAGTATGTTTGGATTATATGCGTGCATGCATGACTCAACACATAATCACACACTATTAACAAGGTGTTCTTTTCCTCACAATTAAAAATAGTTCAATTTTTTTCTTCAAATAGGTCATTAAATTTGGTTGAAGGGAAACCAACACAAGGTAATTGGAATTGAATCTTGTAACACCAAGATGATAAAATGCTAGCGAAAAATACCAACCACTTTCTTTTACCTAGGTTAACTTTACAATGTGAAAGTTTGCTTTTAATTTGTTGGTGTTTTGCTAATTGAGAGGTTAAAGATTCTGCATGCACAATACACTTGAAAGAGTGATTTCAATTAACTTCTTTTCATCTTCTGTGAAGAAATCAAAAAAAATAAAATTAAAATTCATACCAACATTTTTCATAACAAGTAGTTCTCTCAAATCGTTTATAAATCCGTGTTCCCTGTAATTCTTTATATCTTATAGTGGAATTTGCTCTTTTGAGTTTCTGATTAAAATATTTTTTTTTCTTCAATTTTCTCCTTTTTTTCCTCCTCAACATTTTTAATTTCTACTTTCACCTTTAAATAACTGTATAAGTTTTGACAGTGTTGCACAAAAGTTAATTAACACTACTTTGAAATAGCTACATTACTTTTTTTGACACGATTGTTGCACAAACGTTAATCAACACTACTTTGAAATAGCTATATTGTTTTTTTTACACGATTGTTATACAAAAGTTTTTAAACACTAGTTTAAATAGCCCGAGGTTAAAATCTTACATGCTTAATACATGTGTTTACAACGAATGTTTTAGAGTACTAAAAGTGTGCCAGTTTTATTTTATACTTAACATACAAGTTTAGAGATTATTACATTTTATTTATATTTGAGAATAAAGTTGAAAGTAGTTCAATATTGTGGTTCTGTTTTAACATTAGGTCAATCTTTATTATTTTTATTTTTATAGAGAGTAGAAGAAAAAAGTGAGAAAGCAAAGAGTAGGAAGAAAAAAGAAAAGATTGTTTGTGCTAAATTTGAGTGGTGAAGTTAGTGTATAAATAATGCGGAAAGCAACTTAGTATTTTTTCAATTATGTCTGCATGCATATGCATGACTCAACGCATAATCACACACTATTATTTCCCATTATATAGTTCAATTTTTTTTTCAAACATGTCATTAAATATGCCAGAAGAAGAATCAACACATGGTAATTGGTATTGAATCTTGTAATGCCAAGATGATAAAATGATAACAAAAAATGTCAACCACTTTTTCACCTTGATTAACTTTACAATATGAAAGATTGCTTTCACCTTGATTAACTTTATAATATGAAAGATTGTTATTTATTTGTTGGTGTTATCTTTAATAAAAGGTTAAAGATTTTACACGCACAATACACCTCTTCATCTCCAGGATAAAAGTCAAAAAACATAAAATTGAAATTCGTACCAACATTTTCATAACTAATATTCCCTAGTTCACCCAAATTGTTTATAAATCTGGGGTTCCTCATAATTCTTTATATCAAATAGCGAAATTTTTCTTTCGAGTTTCTAAATGAAGTGCTTTTTTTTCAATTTTCTCTTCATTTCCTACTAAATATTTTCAATCACTACTTTCACCTTTTGAAAAACTATATATTTTTCAATACAATTATTGCACAAAAGTTAATTAAACACCGTCTTAAATAACTACATTGTTTTTTTGACACAATTTATTGCACAAAAGTTAATTCAATATTGCTTTTAAATAGCTAATTTAGAGGTTAAAAGCATACATGCTCAATAAACGTGTCTTGGATGAATGTTAATGTGTTTCACTTTTATTTATACTTAAGTACAAATTAAGAGATTATCACAGTTTGTTTATATTTAAGGATGAAGTTAGAAGTAGTTTAATTTTGTGGTTATCTATTAACATTACGTCAATATTTTTATTTTATTTTATAGATAGTACAAGAAAAAAGGGAGAAAACAAAGAAAAGGAAGAAAAAAAGAAGATTGTTTTGTGCTTCAATTGAGTGGTGAAGTGAGCATATAAATAGTGAGGGAAGCAACTTAATATTTTTGGATTATATGCGTGCATGCATGACTCTACACACAATCACATAGTATTAGCAAAGTATTTTTTTCCTCACTCTATTAGAAATAGTTCAATTTTTTTTTTCAAATCGGTCATTAAATTTGTTTAAAGGAAACCAACACATCGTAATTGGTATTGATTCTTGTAATACCTTGATGATAAAAGGTAAACGAAAAATACCAACCACTTTTTTTCACTTGGA